TGTGCTAAGCCCACAATTTGAAAAAAAAAAAAATGATCCAGTGCGTACTCATCATCTTGTATTGCACTGACAACATTTCCATGTGTAAGTTACACTGTAACCATCAGGTGACTCAGAACGTCTCACTAAATACATGGGACGTTGACAACTACCTCAGTTATTGCTGTTTTGTATTAGCCGGTGTGCAGCAAGCCACACTAACCAAAGCATACTGTCATGCATGCTCTCATACAGTGCCATCTGTGTTGTGTCGAAAGTTTCCAGAATGTTTCCTTTTAAAACATTATTTGAAATATGAACCAGCGCTTGTGGTCTGCCGGCCATAGTAATGAAAATGTTATTAATAGTTAGACTGCAAACAAAATTAGAAGTAAACAGTCTGTCCCTAAGTCTTTGATTACAGCTAGTAACACAACGTCTGTCACTTCAGAATGATCGTCCACGAATCTCTAACGCTATTGATGTGTCTCGAAAAACTTCTCCCTTATATTTACCCGTTGTGTGACTATAAACTCTACTAGTTAACAACCACACGGTCATTGAATTGCCACATCATTAAAGAGAACATTCCCCGACCGGATCCTTTACCCTCGGAAGTCTATTCCATGACTCTACCCACCTATTAGCATATACCACGTTGAGGCTTTTCTATAACTGATAATTAGACTAACACCACCGTCTTCAAGAACATTCCACTTCCGCCTGCAAACTAAAAACTCGTTACCGGTAATCGAAAACATTTGTGATACCCGTTCCCACACTGTCCACGTGGGGTTTCCCTTTTCCCCAATCTATCATGTCTTCCCTGTACTACCATAAACTCTGCCGTTGTACTTCCCCGTCTCCATCCTGGTCATTTGTGACATACCCCCACTCTTCATACTGGCAGAGGCAGCATTAGATGGACCTACAGTGTATGGACATCACGACGGGACCTTCAACTTCAACGCTCGTGAGAGCCCGGTCCGAGAAATGGCTTCTGATCAAGTTACAGGACGCCACGGACAAGGGGAAAATGGGTGTATTGACCCTGACCAAGGGCCGCGCCTACCGTCTTTGACCGGGACGGAGATGGAAAATATGTCACTGGTCAGCCAAAAAACAATATCAGTGCCAGGAATAACATTACACTAAGTACCTGGAACGTGAGATCGCTGAGAGAAATGGGCAAGGTGGAGGAATTAGTGCATGAAATGAGCAGATACAGATGGGACATCCTAGGTCTGTGTGAAATGAGATTGAAAAACTGAGAAATAAGCACAATTGCAATAAACACAATAAGGGATCGTTGGTAAATAACGTCAAGCCAAAAATTGATCTTTTAGACCCCCCCCCCCATCACAAAGTGTCACAAATTCTCGACGCTCACCCCATCATGACGTAATTTGCGAACAACCCTTAATATATGCTTGCGGTTGTTTTGCTTATCACGATTAAAAGAAGAAAAGACAATCAAATGCACACGTAGTGAAAAGCCTGTCCATTATGTTAGTGAAGCCTCCTAGCAAGTAGTGAAAAGCCTGTCCATTATGCCATTATGTTAGTGGAGCCTCATAGCAATAAGTGAAAAGCCTGTCCATTATGCTGGTAGAGCATCCTAGCAATATTAAGGTCAGATGAAAAGGTGAGTAGGAAACAGTTTCTAAAAAAAAAGTATGTCTTAAAAATCATTAAATGCATTAATATGGCCCTTATACAGATTCCCATTGAAGAGCCAGGAACGTCTGAAGAAATGGCTTCAAAACATCAGAAGAGACAACTTCCCACCTTCACTAAGAGCTGTTTTGTGTTCAGTCCATTTTGATGAAGACTGTTTCTACAGGTTTTGAGAAAAAAACAACACTCCAGCCACTGGCCATGCCAACAAAGTTTACTTTTCCAAAGCATTTGCAAAAGTTTGAAGTTTTTACTTGTTTAAATTTATATAAAATTAGTTTATAAACAAATCACATTTTCATACTTAATTTATAAAATAATGAATAGAACTTGTTTGCAACTTAGCTCTGACAAATAAACCTACATTAGATAACACAGCTAGAGTAGCATTCCATGTTATGCAAGAGCATGCTATGCATGATATAGAAAGCAATGTAATGTACAAGTTTCATTTGTACAACACTAAAAAACTAAACAATAAGAAAGTAAATAATCATATTTTTAAGAAAAGAAAAATGAATATTAAATCTGCTTTTACTGCAAGCGGTATGAACTGTAGATCTTCCAATGGCAAAGCGCAAGACGGATTCAGAGATTGGGATTACAATCCAAAAACAATTTTCTAAATTTACTCTGTTCGAAACACCAGTGAAGAGATTACTTGCTTTAGGGCTAAGTCCAAAGTGTGGTTGTTCTGTTTCATAACATAAGTCTGAATTTAAAAAACAACATTGTCAACATGTCCTTAATTACAAAAAAAATGTAACTGAATTTGAAGATGAAATTTGCTATGTCTTTGATATTATTTTCATCATGTTTTTAAAGATTGTCCCTGAACTAAAAAATTTATTAATTAATATGCTTGATGAGGTGGGTGCCATCATAACTAATTTTTAAGTGTTATAAATTTTATGTAGATACTAGATACCTTGCTTCTTAATCTTTTATGATTTAAACAAAATTTTGCTTCAATTTTGTGCACATGCCTTGCTGAAATAATCCTTTTATTCTTATAAATTGCTTTTCATTAATACATTAATTGAGCAGAAATCTGTATCCTAAACCTTTGTTGTTTTATTATTAACAAGATTAATATGTTCTACAATACTGTGTAAATTTTGTTAGGATACCTTATTTCGTTAATTTTTTATAAATTTTAAAAAATCTATTCTTAGTTTTTGTGAACATTTCAGCAGTGCTGAAATAATTTCTGTAAAATATTTTGTTGTGTTCACCCTTGCCTGATGATTTCTCATTGATGTGGTTTAAATTACCGTATACTTGACTCCTGTATTTTTAGAATAACTTAATTGATTGATTTTTTATGATTTTCTAAAAATGAACTAACATTGACTTTTTGTCTCGCTTTTAATTTTAATACTTTGTAAAATTGAGCTTCGGTTTATTTTTGTATGAATAAAAATTGTATTTACATTTTAGTTACAACCCTGAAAAAAATTGAGTTTGTTAAATATATAACTGGTTGTGTATGCAAGAGATTTGAAATTTCCAACTTGCTTATTGTAGAGGATAGCAGGTGCCAAAACTACACTTTCCTGTCGTTCTGATTAAGCCAAGCTCTATTTAGGGGAATAATTTAATTTGTTTAAAATTTCATTATGAAATTTTCATATAGAATACCTACTATTACTGTTATCTATGGAGATGACGATCAGTTAATGACCCCAAGCTGTCATGGCCGATCCCCCCCCCCCCCTTCCGAGAGAGGGGATAAAAAAGGAGGGGGGGGGGCGTGCATGATGCTGATGATCACGTTCTGAGGGAAAGGGGATTGGTAGCGGATTAATAAAAACACAAATTGGAAATCCATTAGAACAGTGGTTCTCAAAATTCCTAATGCCACGACCCTATAATACAGCTGTAATACAGTTCATCATGTTGTGGTGACCCCCAATCATAAAATTATTTTCGTTACTATTTCATAAATAATAAATTTTCTGATGGTTGTTGACGACCTCTGAGTTAAGGTTGAGAACCGCTGCAATTGAGAGAAAAAAAACAATGGAGATTTGTCATAATCATTGGTCTGATTGAGTCATTGTCTTCTTTTAAAAACTTACCTTGATCCTGGTACAACTATTTATGTACGAAGAAAATAGTGCAATTGTGTAGTAAATACAACAGCCAACCTTCTGCTATTTTCCCCTAGGGCAATTTACAGTAATTATAAGTTGCAGAAATTAAATAAACGTCCTATTTATTGTAAAGAATTTTTTTTTAAAAATTAATTTGAGAACCATAGGCCTATAGCCTATAGGCTATAGACTATAGGCCTATCATAGGCTATAGGCATAGGTGAATATCCAATTTTATTGGCATTGGTCATTCATTGGCATTGGTAAAACAAGACCTTCATTTCAAAATAATAAACCGATAAGAGATACCTAAAATGTGTGAGACCTAAATATTTAAAATTTTAAACCCGCCACTTGTTCAGAAAGAAATATCAGACACCTAGACATAATTACAGTAATAAAATAAATACCACGTCAACGTAAATACAACGTATTTATTTACGAAGTGTCTACACGTCCGGCGCGGGGCGACTTGTCACGTGACCGCCGGACATGGCCGGTCGGCTAGTAGTTTTTATAATTCCAAACGAAGTACGATTTAGTACATCTTGTCTGGTCTTGTGGTAGAGTGGTTGCTTGACGATAGGAATGTTTGAGGATCTATACCGGTGATAGGGTCGTTTTTTTTCTTCCCATTTTAGTTAAAATATTTTGTATATATTTATATTATCATGTTCCTCAGCAACAGTAGTTTCATGAGAAGTTTTTAAATATTTTGTAGCAATTGAAATAATTTAAAATGAAATCTTTAACTTTTATTGGTTGCCACACTGGCCCCTAATTTATTTTATGGATTACTGGTACACAAAAAATAACAAACTAAACAAAAATGTTTACAAGCCACTTTCACTTAAGTTTCTTTTTCTATTATTTGCATTCAAGATACTCAGTACATTACTTGGTAGAGAAATAGATTTTAAAATTAACAATAGTTTTGAATTATTCGCAGTCACGTGACAAGGCTGACCGACACGATATCTCTCGCCACTTTGTTACGGCGGTCATGTGACTTGGTCGCCGGACACATAGTGCGGGAGATAGACGTCCGGCGCGCCGGACGTGTAGACACTGCCATTTATTTATTTTGCAACTTTTATAAGGCATCTTTAAGGACAGAAGAGTTCTCCTAATGTATCACAATGTCACCGTAAAAGATAAAAGATTTATTAATATAAAATGTAATGTTTTTGATTTCGTAAAATTTGTTAAATTGTTGTTTTTTTACAACAAAAAGATGTTATTTTACTTTTGAAAATAATTTTAAGGAAGTTCCATAAGGTAAAAATGAATTTTAAAAATTATTTTTCGAGAAACATATTTTAATTTGGGAACGCCGTTCTGAGGAATGCCCATGCCCATTGACATTGTCATATGATGTAGAGTGAATAATGATAAATTCAATAAAATTATTTATCGGGTATCATCTGAAAGTGAGACAACCAAACAAGTTTCAACTGCACAAATGGACATTGCAAAATTTAAATTATGGGAAGGTATTATTTTATCTATGGTTCATGCAATAATATTTTCTTAATGTATGTTCTGTAGTCGTGTAGTAGATATAAATATATATTATATAATAATATTAATATGATTTACAATTTTATAACTTACTTTTAGATTTTACAATGTTTCTTTCAAATAAATATTTGTGTATTTGAGTCACTCAAAAAACTATTTAATATTTATGAGCAATTAATTTTATGCATGTCGATAGGCTGTAGAAATATATTGTTTGAGTGTTCTGGAGACATTTTAAGAATGTCAATGTCTGGACATTTAATTTTGGTTTTAGAGCTCTGGCTGAAGGACACAGAGTCAGAGAAACCAAAGTTCTCCATTCCACCAATAGGAGCTAAAGTAAACTTTCAACTTACAAAAGATGGATCTCAGCCTCCAGTTATCGTAAGAAAACAACTATTAGACTTCTCACTATTTAGATATACTATTACTATTATATATTAATGACTTAATGTCCAAGTTTACCACAAGAACGAAATTATGTGAACATAATTGACACCTTACACTTACAACCTCACTGCTCAGTCAAGTTTATAATTGTCATAATTACAATAATTTTCCTATTGCTCATTACACACCCATCACATTAATTTGTTTAAATTTGTGTTTTATTTGTTTCCTCTTTTTTTAGCTTCTCTAATATATAATGAGTATTTAAATTCAGGTGTTTTGTATATTATTTTATGTTAGCTAGTGATATTTTGGGAAATTTAGTCTTACCTCAATAAAGGTTAACCTCACTTTAAAGACATACTTTTAATATTTTAATTTATGGTCCGAATTTTCACGGAAACTTCATTAAGTTATTAAAATTTTTTTTTGATAAGTATATTGTCCAAAAATAGTTGTTTGTTTTCTATAGGTGCCTGCTACTATAAACCAGTATTTAAGAGACTACCAAAGGGAAGGTATAGAATTTCTGTATGATCATTACAGCAACAACACAGGAGCTATCCTTGGGGATGACATGGGACTTGGCAAGACAGTGCAGGTAAATTTTTATATTAATGAGACTGGATGATACTGCAAGTTTATTTTGAAATTAACGAAACTCTGATAAAGTTTTCAGGTTAATATTAATGATATGGATATTAATGCATCTGAACAAGATTGTCCAGGTAGAGTTAACAATATTGTTATTAAGGTTAACTGAAAGAAAACATCTTGATTACTTGTAATACTGAGTTTCCCAAGAACTGTAATTTAAAATATATTTTCAGGTCATAGGCCTTTTGTCTGCGCTACTTGGTAAACAAGGAAATAAATTAGATACTCTACATGCAGTACCAAAATTTATCAGACAGGTATTCAATTGATCTATTAATATTAATTATACTTCATGACTCAGGAGAGATAGTTGATAAAATTATTCATATAAAAATATTAAAATAATTCTCATGCAAATCAAGTAAACATCAACGATAAATACATTTTTCAGAATATATTATATTAAAATGTCACAGTAACATCAGTTAAATGGTTAAAATTAAAAAAGAATTAAGCTAGTAAATAATGTTGCAATACAAAGTAACACCTCTTGTAGAATAGAAACTGAAAAAGTTCCGCTCTTGAAATTGCACTTGACATACTCCACTGTGATTCATTTTAAAATAAAACAGTGCCTAAGGTGATAAATGTTGAACTCAAGAAAGTTGTTATTTAAATATTTTGCTTAGAAAAATAATCCATATTTTAATTTGATCAATTTTAATACGAAAGCATTTAATAGATAATGAAAAGTAGATTTTGATGATTGGTATTGTTTTTGGCCTTCTGAAGGTGTCATTTTCAATTTATTTAATTATTTTACTCTAGTTTTGTTATAGAAATCAAAATTAACCCTAACCTGTTATCACATAGTTGTCCAGAGAATTTCCAGCAAGTCCCTCTAGAAGAGCATGTAAACCTTTCCTCATTATTGGGCCAACAGCTGTCATGTTTAAATGGCTGGATGAAATTGATACTTGGGGATATTTCACAGCAAGGTACAGTTAACATGGGCATTTTTCACAACAAGGTGCTTGTACAATGGGGATATTTCACAGTAATGTACAGTTATAATGGGCATATTTGACAGCAAGGATCTCTTGCCATTGGGAACTATCACAGCCAGATGCTGTTACACTGGGAGATGTTTCACAGCAAGGTGCTATTACAATGGGATTTGTCAAAGCAAGGCATAGTTACACTGGAAATTACTGCAATAAATTTTACACTACTTTATTGTTAAAAATGAACTGTCTAATTTTCATCCTCACACCCATCAAATGTATTCATGAGAAAAGAAAACTGCTTAAAAAATGTACAAATATTCTAATATTATTTACAGGTAGTTAGAAGTTTTGATACATGAGATATTACCCTGTAATATAGTATAATATTAACTTGAACATCACATTTCTGTAAACATACTCAAAAAGAAGATAACAGTTACTGTTACTTCGGAAATAAATTTTAAAACATTTTTGCACAAAATAAGTTAATTTCAAACAGTGACCCGAAATGTCATAATGTCAATTATTTGTGGAAGTTTCTATCTGTGGTAAAGGCTGACTTTTTGGGTTTTTGTAAGTCATGGCAGTGTTTCTCTAATACTTGAACCAAGTACTGTTTCCCTTCCTCTGGATTTGTCAGGACTCCATTGAACTCCTGAATCAAGGCCACCCTTCGCTCGGCTGCATCTTTTGGGACTTTCACACTCCTCACCATCATTAGCCAACAATGTAGTCATGGTCTCTGCACCATGCATCTGGATTGTTGAGGAAAGTTTATTGTATAGCCAATGCTGTGAAAAGTTGCCTGATGTGTTGCATTTTCAAAGTCAGCTGCTTCTTACGTCAGTTAGTGTGGGGTAGAAGGCAATGGGTCAAGGATGATCTGATGTTTTTGTGTCAAGCGCTGTAACCATGGCTGCCTTCAGTTCAGCTAATGCTACAGAGTCAAAGAATGCGAAACCAACCAGGATTTCACTTAAGAACCTTAAATGTCCACAGAATGACTTATTACAGCTTCAGCAACAACTTCATGTGTTCTTATAGCTCTCCAACTCATGGAGTAGATCCAGATCATTCTGTGGAGGAGATGAGGCGCATGCGCTTATAAATCAACCCTTTAGATAGATCTTTATTATGAAAGAGCTCCATTATGAAAGTGTTGAAGTGGCCTAGAGATGACTATTCATTTGCAGTCCGAATAGGAAATGAAACGGGAGCATCTTTGCGATCTATCGAGGTTGGTGGTAAGCTCTGGGAGTCTGAATATTTACTTTGGCACTTTAATCTGCTCCGAGAAATAGAAGCGGTAGTTGCAGAAGCTCATGATATACATCTCTGCGCTGCAACTCTGATAGTTGTTGCAGAATGAACTGAATGATGTCATACTGAACTGAGAGTCAATATAATGATATCTACAGATAGTCCACTTTTGTATCTAGACCGATCATTTGACCCCGAATATTCACCAAAGCTCTGAAACAACTTGATGTTTGCTCCACAAGATGGTCCCATCAGTGTATCAAACATCTTGGCCACTATTAGTTCCATGATCTGATACCTGCATGGTAAACTGATCAGATGCCTGATGTGATTCTCTTCCAAAAGAATGCATGCACCGGCATGAACTCCAATGTTGCTTGCTGTAGTGTCAAAGCAAATAAATATAATGCTAACAGTGAGGTCCCATTCCTGATTATAAGTGTTAAAACATTGAACACTGCAGTTACCTCTACCTGTCCTGTTCTATTTGGCATCCCTACAACAACTTAATTGGATAAGTGGTAAGTGAATTAGTGAGTGGCTTTGGCAATGAATTTTCGCTGCACTAATTGGCTTTTGATTTGTGAGTTTTAATTTAGCTCTTCTGAGATTAATCCTTTTTTTTCTGGCATCCATCTGTCACAATGTGACGATGGTGTGACAAAATCACAAGGCCTGGGATTTTTCTTTAGGACTATAACCTGGTTCCATAGACGGCAAATCGCTTCGCTCGATGCACCTGAATAGCCCAAGGGAACAACATTATACAGCTTGGCACCAGTGCGTAGTAGGAGTTGTCGGAAGTTTCATTGTCTAAATGTATCCACCTATGGGACTCCTCCACATTTTGATGCAGAGTTTCCTTATCGTAGATGGGATGCCATCCAAGGATGGATGGGTCCCATCTACCTGGTGTGCTAGTGTTTTGCTTGAGTATTTGGTTGGGATTAAACTACTTGGGATAGGGGATTGACTTTTTGAAATCTCTAATTTGATATTGTTTTAAGACATTTGTATAACATAAATTTTAATTTTATTTCGTAATATTAACAACACAATAAAAATAACAGATGTTTGGGTATATCTGATAAATGTGATTACGAATTAATGATAGTAATACTTAGATGATAATATAAGTACCGGTACTTAGATAATAATTTATTGATAATAAAAACAATATATTAACTGTCAAATTCATATAGAATACTTTAAATAATTCTTTAATTGTTATTTTAAATATATTTCAAATTTATAACTTAAACATTAGCAGATACATTTTATTTTTATCATTTTTAAATTTATTTGATTTCCGTAAACAAATAGAAAATCTCTATCATTATTTTTAAGAATACGAACATATTTTAATCGATTTTAGTATTATTTGGTCAGCTCAGCTTATTCTTATATCTATGTATATGTACATATAATAACTGAAATTTCAATTCAGTAACCAGTAATAACACTCAATTTCAATTAAGTAACCAGTACCTACCTGTAACAATTTATTGTAAGAGATGTACACATGAAAACATTTCCTCTCATTGAGCTACCAGTAAATATTTATCTCCATGAAACTTTGCATAGTTATTATGCATTAAAAAATGAACAGAATGAAAGGTGGGGGGTGGCTGGAAAATGTTGGACTTTTTTGTTGTTGCTATTACACTGAGCTGAGTGGCACCCTACTGTGGACTTGTAACTAGCAAGTCACACAAAACAGAATGTACCAGTAGCTGAGAGGTGTTCAGTCTTCTCTTCTTCAGTGGATATCATTTTCTGGGGTCAGAATTGGGCCCAATACATGTCCCACTTTTCAGGGGCTTAATTGTTAAAAAAAAGTGTCTTTTTGGATGATTTTTCGTGTCAATTAAAATAGTTAATATCTTAATTTGTAGAAGACAGCTGAATAATTATTCTTTTTGACATATCATTTTATACATTTGAGCAAAATTTTAATTATTCATGAGGTTTGTATTCCAGAGGGATAATTTAAATTTCCTATCATTTGTAATATATGCCATTATGTCAAAAAACATTCATTTTATTATTCACATGAAACATCATATAAGAAAAGGTTAATAGAGCATAATGTGCTGATAACAGTTTGATATTTTTCTTTTAGCAAATTTCATGGAGCTGACAAAGATGGCTGCCTTGCTGATCTGAAGAAGGGAAAACTTGAAATAATTGTCACAACATTTGAAACTTTTAGGGACCATGTTGTGAGTAATAAAATTTATCTATGTCTGTAGAGATCTTTTAAATATTATACTAAAGATTTGTAACTTTTATGTGGTGTGTCACTGGTTGTGAGGGACTAGAACAAGTTTTAATCTTTATACAGCATTAGGGATCCAAGTTGTTAAAACATGTAATTTCTATTTCTAGTGATTTATATTAATAGTTGTTAAGCTCTGCTGTCTATTGTGAGAAATTAATCTCTTATTTTTAGTTTATGGCTCGTTATAAACGGTGCATAACAAAGGACGATACCAAATGAGAAATACAATAGTAAAAATACGACACTCAAAACAGTGCTAATTACAATTAATAAGATTTATTTAGTTATCTATATAGTTACAAAATAAAATAAATTATTAAGAATCATCAACTTACAGAGTACGGTAGGTCTTGTACCAGTACACAGTTTATACAATGTGCCAAAAAAAAATAAGGTACAATGATGAAATGCGAATTCACATAAGGAAACACAAAATAACACACTCTTGTCTCGTGAAGTCAAAATCTTATCTCGATGAATCTCCCTCTATGCTCTCTGAATCCCTTTTTATATCTATGCGATGCGTCGGTAGAACTGACGCTTCTGGAAACTCCTTACACCTTGTTTATCTTTCCAGTTCACTCCCGAACTTTCCACAAAATTCTATTAGAAAATATTAATTATTTTTAGTCGGTAGGGGTAGTAAACAAAGGCCAAGATCAAAGGGAATAGGCCAAGCCCAATACGAACGCAGCCTAATTTGGGGTCAAACCGAGTTTACGGCACGGGGAAAGTGACGTAAACATGACGTAAACATGTCGTCTACATAACAATAATCCTTATATGTTTCTTATATAATTTCAGGACAGATTAAACGAGGTTGAATGGGAAGCAGTTATTGTTGATGAGGTTCACAAAATTAAGGTGTGGTGTGCACATTTAATAATGTTGGATTATAATGGTATGGTCAAGTCATTCTATTTTTAAATCACCCTAAAGCTTCAGTTTTAATTATGTTTTATTAACAATCACAAACTGTTATAATTTTATTGCTAATAAAGAGACAATATAACTTTCCTTAAACCTGTTTATAATGTAAGTAAAATAATTTCAAAAACTGTCAAAATTCAAATTAAAAAAAACAACTGCTAAGACATAAGTGATAAAACTGCTAAATTAATAATTTGTTTGAATTCAACATTTTGTTTTGATTTAAGAAATAGGCCACAAATGCTATTAAAAATACATATTTAATTCTTATTACTGCTGTACCTTAACTCTTTTCATTCCTCTACTATAGAGCGTAAAACTATTTACGTCTGTTATTTTTGCTAATAAAATGTTGTCTTTTTTAATTTTCTAAGTTTCTGTAGACTATCTATTTTATCGTACATTTGGAAGAAAAATAAAAAAAAAAAAAATTTCAAGATTTTTAATAATAATTGATTTTTTTGTTGTTGCGAGTTTGAGGTTCAAGTGACATGCTGAGAAGCGTTAGTCGCCATCTTAGGGAAATTTGTGCAAGACGCTTGTTGACTTGGCATCTCAAATCCTAAATAATGAATACTACTGACAAAAATGTTGATCAAATTTTATCTGAATCTTCTGGGGAAGATAGTTGGGAACCTAAATCTAGTGATTCTGATTCAGATTTTGATGAGAATCTTCCTCTATAGCCCATTATAATCATTAAAACTAGGAGGTTAGTACTTGAGTTTTTTGTCATTCTATATTGTATTTAGAATTTAATTTTATTTTTATTTTATCCTGTCAGATTGTGTTTTTAATCATAATTGAATTATTTATTAACCATTTTTAAATGAATCTATGTAAATAAAATCATTTTATATTTTGTGAATATTTTATAATAAAAATAATTTTAGAAGACGTTATTCTTAGAAACTGTTGCTAAGGAATGTAAACAAGGCAGTCTGCACTGATTATTATGATATATTTCATCCTAAAGTACATGCAATTTGACATGTTTTGTAAAAGTTCAATTATCTGACACTAAATTTTTTTGTTACAATTGTTTTTTAGACAGTATTGGAAGTATTAAAAATTGGAAATTTAAGTGAAGTATATATTTTGTATTCATTTCATCCATAATAGTTGCATATATGTCTATAATATTAGTTCTTCTTTTACATTCACTGGCTAAACTTGTTGTATGATGTTGGAGATGATGACCCACCAGTTCCCACTCCTAAGTTTCCCCCAGCCAGAAAGCCAAGCTGACATTTGTGGGAAGAAATGTCAACATAACATGGATACAATGAGCCAGTGTATCTTCATCCAAAAGCCAAAGGATTTTCAAGATATATTTCACACTGAATTTGGTTGAAACATTAGTAAAATACACCTATTCAACTACCATGGGACCTTCTAAACCTTCCATCAACTTTGACTTGTTGATATTTCAACACTATAAAAACATTACACATTTCTAGGACCACTAATGCGCATGGCAACTGTACAAGTCCTTAGTGTACAAAAATACTCATCAACTTCAACAATCTTTTATATCACTAATATCACCATGAATTTTGGGCTCATGTCTTATTCCCAAAGCATTTAATTTACTCAAATAAGACATCTTTAAAAGTTTCTAATATTGAAACAGACAATGAGGAAAAACTGTGCAAAGTGAACTTGTCAGATTTTATCAGAAGAAAAGAAATATAAAAACCAAAGCAGAAACCAAAGAGATAATATAATTTATGTATTGTTCAGTGGAGAGAAAATTAACAGCCTCACTCATTTCAAATAATATAACAGCAAATGGATTTTCTTTTGTGAACAGAATCAAAACTGTTGGTGTATTTCTAGTCAATTATTGGTGAGAAAACCAAATATTGTCTAATCAGATTTTGAAATCATACAATTCATTCATGTGTGGTGTTGACCTGTTGATAAATGGATATATCACCCTAAGTAAAGAGAACAGCACTGGAAAAAACCCTTTTTCAATTTTGTTGATATTGCCAGCCATAATCTCTTCAGGATTGTTCAATAGAAAGCTATGATATAGATGAACTCAAGCTACCTGACATTTAGCTCTCAATTGTCTTCACCGAGGAATTTATTTTAGCATAAGATGATTTTCTAAAAGTGTTGATGTGCCAAGTGCCTTAATGTAAATAACACAAAATACAATATAATAGATGCAATAATTCCTGAATGCATACATTTTGAAAGACATTCTACAGTGTGCTATAAAATAGGAATGCTAAGAAAATAAAATCGAAAATCAAAAGTTGTGCTTAGTATTATTAAATTATTGGTAAACTTATCTTTGTTTAAAAAAAAAAAAAAAAAAAACTTTCTGAGTAGCGGTACTATGAAGTTAAAAATCTCTATTATTTTTTTTAATGTATATATAATTTTTAACAGGTTAAATAATAATAACCTGTAATTTTTGTGAATACTTTTTCGAGGTGCAGTGAATTTTTTATATTTTTTATTTCCCCTTTTTGACACATTTGATTAAATATTTTATATTTTGTTCAAATGCTCATGAAATGTTCTAAATCATGCTCATGACATACAAAAATGAATTTGCTTTCTATATAAACAGATTTTATTAAATTATTTCAGCTGCATCGTATCACCAAATTTTTTTTTACACATTTTCATAAACAATTTTCAGCATTATTTTTTTCACAACTTCTAGTTCTAGGTGTTGACACTGAATGACTCTGAAAAGCAACATTTTTAGAAACCTCATGCATTTCCCCACAAATATATATAAAACATCATGAATATTAGACATTGATTCTAAAAGTTTTTGACTCTTTTGTGAGGTCACTAAAAATCACCCAAAAAACATACAAAATTCAAGGAATGTAAAGCATTAAACAATTAGCATTTTCAAATCTTAATGTATACAGAAATAAATAATATTTTATATTAGTATTTATTTCACAATTGTTTCTGTGTTCTATTGCTTTGTTTCATCAGTGGCCTGATGTTTTATTATTTCAGGGTTTAAAAGCTCAAATAACTCAAAGTTTGCGTAGGATTAACACACCACGTCGCTTTGGACTGACTGGTACTGCTTTACAGAACAGCTTGACAGATCTGTTTAGTATCTTAGACTGGTGAATAACTTTTATTTTAAGACAGGCAAACTTATTTATTAATGAACATAAATGTTTAACATCATTGCAGTTTTACTCAATATGAAAAAATAGCATTTATTTCAAGTTGTTTAAATATATTGTTTATTAAATGTGTTAAACCATGAACTGTGGTCGTCCGGAAAAATCGGCAGACTTTCTCGTTCTGTACTGTGGCGGCCGAAAAAATCGGCCAATAAAAAACACGGTCCGACAGCAACTTCCAATCCAATATTTAACCGAAATTATAGCCACTTACTTTTATTAATAATTAAATCATCTTCAGGCTCAAAATAAATACTTTTTAATAGGAGTTTTATATCGCTGTTTTTTAAAAGCTAAAATGGTTGAAGCCATGGCTGGGCCATCAGTGCAAGAACTAATAGAAATAAGTTTGGTTGAAAGCTTTTTAGGAGAGGTTTTAAGTGATACTCATGATGATTTTAACATTCCCCATGACGATATCAGTTAAGATTATTCTTCTCGTGAATTTTATACTAGTCTTAGTGATACTAAAGTAGGCCTATTGAGGCTACTGTTAGACTTCGAGCCAGGTCCGGAGGTTGGGCAAGGACTGACTGAATTTTAGTCACACAAGCTACAGATTATAGTTCAGAACTAATAAATTTTATAGTTAAACAACACAAATCAGTTCCACAGTTCCTTTTAAAATTTTTACTAGTAAATAATAACTATTTTGCCTGAGATTTCATATTTTGTACTTGGTTTTAGCAGTGGTCACAGTTTCTTATATAAATGACCTAAAATTACTAAAATTGCTTTCAAATGTTTAAATGCAATCAAAACCTTTGCAAACCATACATTTTCTTAAAGATAAATGAATTGGCTACAACATTTAGATTTGTGTTTTAAGTGTATCTATAAAAATTAATTATGTTATGAGCACTTGATAGCAAGACATTTTGTCAATTTTTTTTTCTTGAGAACTTCAAGGTCAAGGACACTGAGCAAAATTTTTTTAAGGGGTGGGCAATATGGTCAACACTATCCCCATCCATTTACCTTTCTAAAAATATACTTATAGGGGTCTTGTATCAATATTTCTATGTCATTTAATGCAATTTTAAATGGCACTCAAAACACTCTGAAAAGCTCCACATCACAGAATGATGCATGCCAGAGTTCGGGGGTTAAATAATTTCAAATACCGGACTTGTATAGCTGCATTATCGTCAAAGAATAGTATAAAAAGAAGAAAAAGATTTATTTATTTTTTAAAGATTTCTGAAAAATTTAAAATGTTAACTTACAGTAGAAATATAAATTTTGTTTGTTGCAATTTTATGTTTTAATTTTTGAGTATATTTTAGAAGTTTTTCTAAAATAATGAAAAAAATCATGTTAAGTTGAAAATTTACCATCATCTACAAAGATATATATCTATTTATGAATGTTTTATTTGCAAACGTATTTGTATTTTCAGGGCTAAACCAGGTGTCTTAGGAAGTCTTAAGAAATTTGAGAAAGATTTTATGGATGTGATTGAAATGGGCCAAAGACATGATGCGACAAAAAGGGAATTAGCTCAAGCTAGAAAACGTAAAGAAAAGATGTTTGTTTTAGTTATTTTAGAAACTTTGTGTAAATGTGCATTAAATAACTGGATTGCTTAACCTCTTTTTAAAATAAACCGGAAGAAAACTCCTTTGCTATAGATGTAATAATGTTATTCTTATATGTAGTATATATATATATATATTTAAATAAAATATTTAAACTTCAATTTTTTAAGTAATAAAACAAAATTAACTTTTCTAAGAATTTTAAAAATTGTTTTAAAAAAAATTAATTTTAATATTTCAAATAAATGAATACAAAGAACAAAGTTTTAAAAAATGGTGTAATAAATGTTGACAATCATTTCATTTAAATGATTTTCACCTTTTAGAGAAAGACAAATTTGCTGAAATGCGCAAAAAAAATTTGTTGAGGAGAACAAAAGCTTTAATTGCTGACCAACTTCCTAAGAAAGGTATGTAATGATTTCTGTTAACACTCGACCATTTATGTTTTTCTCTGAATATTTTGTATATTTATATTCAAATTAAAAATAAAGTTTTACAGACTGTATGTAATATTTAACTTTGTTGCCCCTACTAATTTGTTTTCAGAGGATCTTGTTGTGTTGTGTAAGCTTACAGATTTGCAGATCAGTGTGTACAAAGCTATACTCTCACACCCAGACATGGAGCTCGTGTTACATTCTGAGGATCCCTGTGGCTGTGACAGTGGGAAACAAAGGAGCTCATGTTGTTATAAAGTAGGTCTCAATAAATCTTGTTTCACTTCTCATTTTGGTCATCTTTATGTAATTTAAATAAAAACAATATCCCCAGAAATGGATAGAGATATTTAGAAGTGGTACCAAAAAAAAAACCACAGTAATACAACTTTTGGTAGATGGATGTCTGTAAAACTAAGGACCAAATTTCTTGAAGGTCTGCTACTCAAAACCAGCAAGCCCACCTTCCCCAACTTGTGGGATAAAAAGGCCTACCATGAAAGCTAACCGAAACAAAAGTGACTTGAAGTTAGTTGTATTGGGTTATCTTGGTATTTAGCATGATAAAATACACTGAGATATACTAGAAAAAACTGACTTTGAGTAAATTAAAAAGACAAAAATTTGGTATAAGGAATAGAGTATAGGCATGCTTTTATTAAAAGAAAAAATAATAATTTAGACATTATGGCTAAGGCCTTCAACAATTAAAATTTTTAACAAATCCTTACATGTATCCAATTAAATTTTACATAATTTTTTTTATATATCCTATCAATTTCATAAATAAAACTAAAGAAAGAAAAAAGGGGTGGGCATGCTTACTCACAAAAAATGGAGAAGAAAAGGAAGAAAATGAAAGATATTACAGCCATGTAAAAATTTGATTTAGGTAAATAGCATATGAAGTCAACATATCAAATCTTTAACCTGCCTTTAAAATGCCCATTCTGATTTTAAAACTATTACACAACAGCATAACAGAGGGCAAAAAACACTGTTAAATGCTGACAGATTGAAGAAAAAAATTAGTTTTTATATTCAACTTTTATTCACACTTTTGTTTTTCTTTATCAGTAAATTGTTACACATTTCATATATGCTTTCAAATCTTTGACTTTGTGATAGGTAGCTCCTAATGGCATGAAAGTTCAGGCTCTGGTATTTTCCTATATGCATTTGATGCTAAAGGCTGCCAATCATATAGCACTTCTCCTTCCTGATGACAAAATGAGTGAGAAACAAGCCACAATGACCAGACTTGTGTGTGAAGTTGCCTTTAAAGAACATCCTCAGTTTGTTGAACAAACTCAGTTAGCAGCTTTCAGGACACTCTCTGACCCAAAGTATTGTGGGAAAATGAAAGTATGCTTTCCATGTAATGTAGGACTCTTAATACTTTGGAAATGAAAACTAAGTTTACAATTTGAGTTTAATTGTTTAATGTAACAGAATAGAAATAAGAAATTCGGTTATTTAAAACAAGAACTGCTGAGTTAGAAATCTGATACCATGTCTGACGCCAACTTTTTAATGATATCACTTATGTGTTGCTTTCTATTTAAATTCAAAATTTGACTTTATTATCATCACACCATCCATACAAATTTTCAATAGATTTTTTTTTGTTGCCCTCCCTAGAAAGATATTTTATTTCTTTAATAATTTCTTTAGTTTTATTCAAGTTAAATTTATTTTTTTTCTCTCCAGATTTTAGCTGGCTTGTTGTCAGTGTTTGCATCTAGTCATGATAAAGTTTTGGTCTTTTCATATTCATCAAGAGTAAGCAGTTTATTGCTATTAAATTCAATATTTCAGATTCCTGTTCTGTAAACAGGATTATTAGGGATCAGCTGCATAAAAAAAGTGGCATAGGAATGGGGGCAGTCTGCCCAGGGTATCAATTTTATCTTCATATGGAGGCGGTGACTTATTTTGCCAACTGCAAATTCTTGGATAAAATTCAAATAGCATAGAATAATGCGGCTCGCATTGTTCTCCGCAAACGCAAATTCGACCATGCAAAACACTTCTGAGAGAGTTGCACTGGCTGCCGGTGCGTGCGCGCATAGAGTACAAAATCGCAACTTTGTGCTACCGCTGCTTACATGACCTGGCGCCGTCCTATCTGAAAGAGCTACTGACGCCTTATGTACCCACTAGACGACTCCGCTCATCCGATAGTGGCAAACTCTCGACACCACGTGTTTGCCTTGAGACTTACGGAAAGCGCACTTTCGCATTTGCTGGTCCAACAATTTGGAAGGCCCTTCCTGTCGATCTCAGAAACAACCAGACACTGGAGTCCTTTAAAACCGATTTAAAGACAAATCTATTTCGCAAACACCTTCTGGGATGATTGTCTACCTTATTTTCCAGTTAATGCATAATGGCTGTGTTGCTTATGGTTGAAATGGCTAGAAAGACTTTGACATTGTATGCTTGTAATTAGTTTTTGTAGTGTTGCGTTTGTTTTTAATGTGGTAAATTATAGATTTGTTTTTTGTTGACTTTGTACCGCGCTTCGAGCCTTTGGGGATGAAGCGTGTTTTTGAAATGAACTTTATTATTATTATTATTATTATTATTGGTGGGGGGTGGGATTCATTTGCTTGCCCTGGGTGGCACTAACCAAAAATGAACATGACAATAGGATACAAGGAACGTTTAAGAATTTTTTACACAGTTTCTCCTGTCTTTATAAATATATACATGAGAATGTTCTAAGCTGACCATATAATGCTTAAAAATACAGAATCAATTAAAATACGGAGAGAATCTTAAAAACATTGATAGGAATTTTCTATTATTGTAAGGAAATCAATTTAATTTAAATATTAAAATAAAATATATATGCTTATATTTTTTATGTTTAATTAAAAGGTCTGTTTTTTATAAATTTGAATACATTAAAAATAAATATTAAATTATTATAAGTAATTTATCCGAATTTGAAAGTTAAGATATTTTTTAATATCAATAAATTAATGACCAAGTCTTACTATTTTTAATTCATAATCACATTTATCCGCAAAACCCCAATATCTGTTGGTTATTGCGTTGTTAATATTGCGAAATTAAATTTAAATTAATGTTATCCATATGTCTTCAAACAATATAAAATTAAAATTTATGATTGAACTCCAAAACAATATAAAAAATTATAATTTTATATGTATTAATAAGAATGAGCCAAGGTGACCATATAACTATAACACTAAAAAATGAAACAATTTAAATACATTCTTACTCTGAAAAAAAATAATAGGGGTTTTCTATTATTTTAAGGACATCGAATCAATTTATCAATGATAAAAATAAAATATATTTGCTTATTTTGAAGTATATGTTTAAGTATTATTATAAAATTAAATTAGAAACACATTTAAAATAACAATTAAAAGACTATTTTAAGTATTTTATCTGAGATGAAAATTAAAAAAATTCATTCTCTTTTAGGCAAAAGATTATTGTCTAAATGTTATTATTATTAATTCGTAATCATATTTATCAGGAAAACACAAACATTGTGGTTTTGTAGTGGTATAGCATTGTCAATATTGCAAAATTAAATTTACATTTATGCTAACCAAATGTCTTCAAACAATAGCAAATTAAAATTTTCCATTGAAATGAGTTAATGACTGCGTGTGACAAAACTGAAATTTTAAGAATAAATTTAATGTATTGCTTTTTAAATTGTTAATACCCAACACCAAATTTTAACTTCTTTGTATTTTTAACATTCAATTAGTTTTTCTTATTTTTGCTTCCAAAAATTTTACTTTTATCAAACTTAACAACTAAAAATACTTTTAATAAGAAAATGCTGTTTAAGCCAATTAGTGCAGCGAAACTTCATTGCTTAAAACACTCATTCAAATAAGAATAAACCATATGAAGAGGTCTTAAAAAAGTATCCAACGGGCCACATGAAGATTATTCGATGACCATTTATAAGTCATTAAAGGTTTTATCATAAAAAAATGTAACCTTATTCACTTTATTGGGAGGAGGGAAAGGCTTGGAAGCCTGCAAGTGATCTGTGTGCCGTGAGTTTGAGACCCCCAGCGCTTGTGTTAATTAAAGTTGTTATAACATGGGCATTTTTTGATGAATTCTTGCAGCTTCTAGATATCATAGAGCAGTATGTGATTAGCCAAGGCCATGAGTACCGAAAAATTGATGGGAAAGTGAATAGCCTGCGTCGTCGAGATATAGTGATAGAGTTTAATAAAGATAACAACATCTTTATGTGTCTCATATCTACCAAGTAAGCTTTCTGTTGCCCATCTTAAAGTTATAAGGTAATAATTCCTTTACAATTGTTAAAGATAATCAATATTAAGTCTATATTCTGGTAAAGTACTAAGGTTTCTGAAATGGAAAATAATCAAAATTACAATTTAGAATTGTTTTAAACTTTCAATTATTTAAGCTTTTTTAAATAGTGTATAAAATGAAAATATGTTTTTAATAGTGGACATCCTGGCTTACAAAAACTACTACCAATAAACAATGTTGTCTGCAAAATTTAATTTTAACCTGCAGACAAAGGGTGAGTTTCTTATTCTTAACCAAATGTTAGTTTTCAAACATGATTGAATCTGTTGTGAACTTAATTTCTTGTTTGATAAGAATTATTTATTTGTTATTTTTTCATTGTTTGAACCTTCCACTACTTCCAGGGCTGGTGGCTTAGGCCTAAACATGACAGCTGCCAACAGGGTTGTTATATTTGACCCTAACTGGAACCCAAGTCATGATATGCAAGCTGAAGACAGGTATATTTGGATCAGCAACACATCATCAAAAATGTCTTGATAGTGTTTTAATCTACTTCTGAAGAAAAGAAAATTTGAACAAAATAACTTAGCCATAGTAATCCATCCATCCCTTTGGTGCTGCAGCCCATGTATGGCTTTGGCCTTCCTCACCACATCCTTACACTTACACTCAGCCCTAACTGATGCTTTTCTTTTCCATCCTTGGATTCCCAGCTGCTGTAGTTTTCCACATCATCCATCCATCTTAGCCTAGGTTTGCCTTTGAGCCTTTTCCCTTTGTGGTTTAGGTAATGTACCTTCTTCACTCCTCTGTCATTTGGCATTCTTTATAAGTAGCCTACCCTAATTTATTTGGCTTCTAGCGGGGATCCTGATATGGACTGTACAATTCCTGGCTGGTTCATACTCTCCTTCCATAAACACCCTTTGATGGTCCTTATATTTTCTGGATAACTTTTCTCTCCCATGTGTTGAATAGATTTTCTACTGTTTTTGTTAAGAGTCCAAGTTTCACTTGCCTATGTTACAACTGGTCTTTTCTTTGTTTTTATTCTAATGTTTTTACTTTTGAGTTTTTTCTGATTACTGAAGTATGCCCTGTTTCTAACCGATATTCAATCTTTTATTTCTGTTAGTAATTCGTTTCATTTGTTTAATAAAGATCATAAGTATTTGTAATTGAATTGATTTACTTTTTCAAAAGTCTGGTTTCTAATTTTAATGGTTTCCCTAACAGTGCTATGTCATGTCATCAGCATTTGCAAGATACTTTTGGGGCTAATTGTAGAGAGTGCATATTGGTTGTGTTTCTTGGGTTTCCCTCAGAAAGTATCCTATCATTGTTCCTAGGGTGTCCATATGTATGTTTCTGTTAACTTTCTCCAATTTTATTATAAATAGCATACAAGACAAGGAGTCGTCTTTCTTAGGCCTCGTCTAATCTGAAATTCCCTTGAATATTCACCCTGACCCCTTGATTTTGCTTTTTGAATTATTTAATGTTATATATATCAGTCTTGTCAGATTTTTGGGTATGCCAAACTCCTGCGAAGTCTCATATAGATATTTTATCTTGATGCTGTCATATATCATTTTATAGTTCACATAGATTCAAATCTGGGATTGTATATTCGTAACATTTCTGTAATACTACTAATAGGCATCTGATGGTGAAAATCTGATCAATCATTTTGTCTGAATCCATGTTGGTAGTCACCTAGTATATGTTCAGTGTACTGTTGTAGTCTTTTGGTAATTAGTTGTCAACCATCTTTTCCAGCTGGCTATTATCTCCTAGATGTATATTGGCCTGTGTTGTTTATGTTTGCAAGTCATGAAAGACTTAGAATGGGTATTCTCATATGTAGTTTTTGTAATGTTGCGTTTTGTATTTCAATGTGGTATAATATAGATTTTTTCATTTCTATTTTAATATGGTTGACTTTGTACAGCTCTTCGAGCCTTTGGGGATGAAGCGTGATTTTCAAATAAATTTTATTATTATTATTAGTTTAGTCAGTATTTTGTATGTAACATTTTATGTGAAAATTCCTCTGTAGTTTGTGCATTGAAGTTTTGAACCTTTATTGTGTATTGGGGTTATTATAGGGTGACCAAATGTCCCCTAAAAATGGGATTGTCCCATTTTTTCACGATCGTGCCCGGTGTCCCAAAAAAGTATAAATAATAAGTATTCACTGTAAAGTTATTATTTTTCATTTATGTAGTATTCCCTTTTTATTTCATCTTGTGATGCTTCTAGTTGTACTGCTACTTTATTTGATAAACTTTTGTAGTTTTGGGTCTTTGATAAGTTTTTGGTAATTATATAGTTTTTCTCTTTGATTTCAGCCATTTTGTATTATGCTTATTCTCTGCTTATATTTAACCCTTATAAGTAGATTGTCAGAGTCTGCATGTGCTCCTCAACATTCGAAAATCATGTGCATATCCAGGCAAGGGTCAATTACCATATCCACAATAAAAAATGTCTTGAGTGTTTTAATCTGTTTCGCAAGAAAGTAAGATTTGCTTTGTGAACAAAATAACATTGCCATTGTAATAAAACTTATATTATTTTTTGTTTCTTAGTATGTCAATTTTTCTGTTTACAATGTTTTCATTTTAAGGGCATACCGCCTTGGTCAGACCAGGAATGTTCAAGTATTTCGTCTGGTATCAGCAGGCACCATTGAGGAAAATATCTACCTTAGGCAAATTTACAAACAGGTGAGTCAGATTTATTTGCATATTTCAACTAATTGGATTATTCCCTCATGCCATAATGTAAAAGTAAGATGAATTAACTTTATAGGGTTAATACGCACATTATGATAGCAATTTAGTAAGACACTAGAAAAGTATGCTAACAGTTAAGGGTTATAAATACCTACATAAGAGAATATCCACAGTAGTCTTTGTGGGTTAAACAGGCATGATTTTAAAAAAACATGATACAACTCAGAAAATATCAGAAAAAAGTTCAGCTGCCAGAAAATAAACTAAAAAAATCAATGTTTTAATATTTTGTTTGCAGCAGCTTGATGAAGTTGCTGTTGGTACAGGCAATGCTCGAAGGTACTTTTTTGGAAAACAAGGAGACAGAGAAAATCAAGGAGAACTTTTTGGTGTTAAGAATATTTTTACTCTTCGCACGGGAGAATCAAGTTTAACATTGGATGTTTTGAAGGTATAATTAAAATAAATATTAATATTAAGGATGAAATGTTTATGGGGGATTTCTTTAAGAATTATTGTTTTAAATCCAGCATATCATGTAAGCATAAAATTATAACATTTTTCATATCATTTGAATATATCAAAACCAGTTTATCTGAAGTAATTAATAATTGTTGCCTTTAAATTTTCCAGAAATGAAAGAAGCTTAAAAACTATTCTTCCAGTTGCCTTAGGATATTACATTTTAAACTTATTCTCAATGTTCAGCTAATTGTTGGTCCATGGCTGTTTCATACCTTCATTGTTCAGCTAATTATTGGTCCACTGCTCCTCCATATCTTCAATGTTTAACTTATTTTTGGTCCGCTGCTCCTTCATAGGTTCACCACTAGAAAACTAGGACTGTTAATTTTATATTAAGTTTAAATGAAATGGTTAAAATACCATGAGTTCCTAATAAATAATACTGGTAAATGTTAGGTTTTTTAACTTATCAGCTCAGTGTGAGGGGTTTGTATAAAAATATGCTGATCATATTTTGGGAATATCTACTTTTATTTAAAAGCTAATTCTTTCATTGTCTGGTTGTTTTTTTTTAAAGGTTCTGTAAAAAAAACTTTGATATTTTATCTTCTTAGAGAAATGAAAATATTGAAAAAAGTCTTGCAGGCTATGACATCACAAAATATGTACCTCCTATGGTTGCAAATTCATCTGAAGTTGATATTAGCAGTAGTGATGATGACAGGATTCCAGAAGAGGATGCTGATAATGACGAAGAATCATTTATGAGGAACTTATTTGGTGCAGGTAAAATTTATACACTGAAAAATTAGTGTTTCTAAAACAAAATAAAGCATTATTAACCCATGAACTGTGGCATGCATCATTCTGTGGTGTGGAGCTTTTCAGAGAGTTTTGAATGCCATTTGAAATTGCATTAAATGACATAGAAATATTGATACAAGACCCTTATACTTATAAGTATATATTTTTAGAAAGGTAAATGGATGGGGATAAAGTTGGCCAAATTGCCCACCCCGTTAAAAAATTTTGCTCAGTGTCCTTAACCTTGGAGTTCTCAAGTAAAAAAAAAATCGACAAATTGTCCTGCTTTCAAGTGCTTATAACATCATTAATTTTTATAGATACACTTAAAACATAATTCTAAATGTTGTAGCCAATTCATTTATTTATCTTTAAGAATATGTATTGTTTGCTAAGGTTTTGATTGGAATTAAACCTCTGAAAGCAATTTAGTAATTTTAGGTCATTTATATAAGAAACTGGGACCACTGCTAACACCAAGTACAAAATACGAAATCTCGGATAAAATAATTATTATTGAGTAGTTAACATTTAAAAAGAAACTGTGGAACTGATTTGGGTTGTTTAACTATAAAATTTATTAGTTCTGATCTATAATCTGTAGCTTCTGTGACTAAAATTCAGTCAGTCCTTGCCCAACCTCCGGGCCTGGCTCGAAGTCTAACAATAGTCTCGGTAGGCCAACTTAAATATCACTAAGAATAGTATAAAATTCACGAGAAGAATAATCTCAACTGATAACGTCATGGGGAATGTTAAAATCATTATCAGTATCACTTAAAACCTCTCCAAAAAGCTTGCAAACATATTTCTATTAGTTCTTGCACTGAAGACCCAGTCATGGCTTCAACCATTTTAGCTTTAAAAAAAGCAGCTGTATAAAACTCCGATTAAAAAGTATTTATTTTCAAGTTATCACGAAACAGCTTGAACCGGAAGATGATTTAATTATTATTAAAAGGACTTGGCTATAATTCTGGTTAAATATTGGATTGGTAGTTGCTATCGGACCGTGTTTTTTATCGGCTGATTTTTTCGGCCGCCACAGTACAGAACGAGAAATGTCAGCCAATTTTTTAAGCTGACCATAGTTCGTGGGTTAACATATGACTTAACATTTAGCTCTAGCTAAAAAAAAAATAAAAAAACCAGATGGCGGCCATGAGTGTGTGAAACAGAAATTAATAATAATTATAATAAAGTTTGTTTGAAAATCACGCTTCGTCCCCAAAGGCTCGAAGGGCAGTACAAAGTCAACCACATTGAAAAAGAAATGAAAAAAAAATATTATACAACATTGAAATACAAAACGCAACATTACAAAAACTACATACGAGAATACCCATTCTAAGTCTTTCATCTCTTGCAACCATAAACAAGACAGGCCGATATACATCTAGGAGATAACAGCTAGCTGTAAAAGATAGTAGACAACATCACCCCAGCAGGTTTTTGCGAAATGGATGTGTTTTCAAATCGGTTTTGAAAGACTCCAGTGTCTGGCTGTTTCTGAGAGCGACAGGAAGTGTGTTCCTAATTGTTGGGCAAGCAAATGCGAAAGAAAATTGTCACCAGCGTTCTAAAACTGGACTTTAAATATGTTCCTATTGTAACCAAATCTTAAATACTTATTTCAATTGAAATTGGGATTTCAAAATTCAACAGCTGTATGTGTTGGGGCATGCAGCCAGGTGTTAGTTTTTATACAACCGTTCATACTGGATTACACATGATATACCTGTTCATAAATAGGCTCCTACACCCCCCCCCCCCCCCCCCCCAACGTAAATGACAAAACCACCCTTTCCAAGCAATGGACGCTAAACCCCTGCTCCATAGAGATATGGATGTAATTGTAATGCTCCAAATGCCAGCTTTACACAGTATTAGAAAGACCCACCCACAACCCCCCTGTCACCTTCCTGATCACAATCCTGTGTGGGGATGTACACATAAGCCCCGGACATACAGCTCCACACACCCCTGTGGACTGTGCCAAGAGCCAGTCAATTGGAACTGCAAAGGCGTGTCGTGCGACACATGTCGAATCTGGTTCCATCTGCTATGTGCCAACGATCGATCCGTGGACTAGGGCAAAAACGAGTCAACCCTCCTTTGCATGGTCCACACTGCAACAACATCAACAGCTTCACATTCCACAATTAGCAACTGAACTGCTCAAAATACTCTCCTCTCTCATCTCCCAATCTAAACGCTGAATCTGTAATAACGCCCGACTCATTTTCACAGCAAAGAACTAGAACCTCAAAATCCCACCATCCTAGTCAACCTCCCTACTCCACCCAAAAGGCATCCCACAAGCTCCCAATAACATAAATGACATCCTACAACCTCCTCTTCTATCCCTGACCATCCCAAAAATGCTAACCTCCGCCTTCTAAATATCAACTGCCAAAGCATAGAATCAAAGAGACAAGAGCTTGCAACCATCATCCAATACACCAAACCAGACATAATATGTGGAACAGAGTCATGGCTCAGAGGCATAAACCTGGGAAAGAACCAACCCTGGACCAAGTAAAGTCCTCAGAAGTCTTCCCGGTGGATTACAATGTGTATTGTCATGACCGTGCAACAAAAGGCGTGGGTGTCTTCATCTTGATTCACAGATCCCTCACATAAGTGAAACAACCACCCCTGGTCACAGCCTGCGAAATAGTATGGGCACAGGTTAATTTAAAAAACAAGAAAGACCTCTGCATCGGTGCCTTCTATATCCCAAAAAGAACCCAGTGCAACCTTGACCAGCTCCAAAATCCATCAACATTCTTACAGCCAACGACAAGCACCCACGCGACATCATCGTCGCCGGTGACTTCAACTGCCCCGATATAGAATGGACCATGCATACTGCTCACTCCACTGGCAAAGACAATACCATTCAGCAATCACTGATGAACTTAACCTCATCCTCACTACTCACGCAACTGCAGAAGACACCGACACGTCAAAACAGCATCCTAGATCTAATCTTTTCGTCCAACCCCACCTTTGTTAAACAATCCAGGCATATCTGACCATGACGCAGTGGTGGTTGACTTCTAGTCCAAAGCTGAAATAACGCCCCAGAAACCCAGGAAATCTTACAAGTTCGGTAAGGCAAACTGGGACAAGATCAAACTAGATCTCACCGCCGCTGAACAGGTCATCCTAAAAAAATATAACAAGGGAGAGGATGGAGATACACTATGGTGGACCTTCAAAAATACCTTATCCAACAGCATAGATCAAAATGTCCCATCAGCGACAGCAAAGAATCCATGCAATCTACCATGGCTGAACACACGGCTCAAGAAGCTGCTGAAGAGGAAGAAAAGACTATTGAAGAAAGCCCAAACTACCAACAACTGGACCCTGTACCGCCAGTTCCAGAAACATTGTCGTAGGGAACTAAGAAGAGGAGAGTGGCAGTACATAAATGGAGTCATTCAAGAAGGCCTCGAAAACAACAACGCAAAACCCTTCTGGCGCTACATTAAATCCAGGAAGCAAGACAACATTGGTGTAGCCCCCCTACTAGAAAATGGGCAACTTGTAAGCGATGGCCAAAACAAAGCAGAAATTCTCCTAAGGCAGGTTCAATCTGTCTTCACAAAAATTTCCACCACTGTCATACCATCCCTAAAACGTTCACCTGGTACAGTAGGCCCCCTCAAAATAACTGAAACAGGAGTAGCCAAACTTCTCAAAAACCTGAAGCCCAATAAAGCACCTTGACCTGACTGTATCCCGAACATTGTCCTGAAGACCCTGGCTGACAACATTGCCCCAACCATGACCCACATTGTCCAAAAGTTGCTTGACTCCGGCAAACTCCCGCTAGACTGGCTTGATGCAAATATCATTAGTGCCTACAAGAAAGGTGACCCTCATAAGCCAGCAAACTACCGCCCAAAATCCCTACCTTCGTCCCATGCAAAATTCTAGAACACATCATCTGTCACCACAACCACATCATGAACCACCTTGAACACTACAACATTTTGACCAACCTAAACCACGGTTTCTGCTATGGATTATCAACAAAAACTCAATTAATCATCACCACCAATTACCTCCTCACCACCTATGACTAAGGTATCCAGTTCGACATGACAATTCTCGACTTCTCCAAGGCCTTCGTCACTGTTTCACACAGCCTTCTTCTACATAAGCTCCACCACTATGGCATTACCGGTAACCTTCACTCCTGGCTGTCAACATTCCTAACACAACGGAGCACGCAAGTAGTGGTAAATGGCGTCCGATCATGCAAAGCCACCATAGAGTTCCTCAAAGCACAGTGCTGGGCCCCATTCTCTTTCTCTGTTATGTAAACGACCTCCCCTGATGCTGTAAAATCTCAAGTGAGGCTATTTGTCTACAGAGAGATACACAGCTACAATGACCACAACCACCTCCAAGCTGATTTGATCTGCCTTATGAATTGGGTGGACACATGGGGCATGAAATTAAACAAAAACTAAATGCTACACAATGAGCATCTCAAGAAAAAAAACCATCAACCTATATGTACTCACTAAACAACACAATTTTTCAAGTATAAAATAATCCATATCTTGGAATTCTCTTCTTGAATAACCTAAAATGGTCACTCCATATAAACAAAATTTCAAAAAAGCCAACTCCACACTAGGTTTCATTCGAAGAAATCTAGGCCACTGCCCAACCTGCAAATGAAATACCTATCTTGCACTCATCCATCCACTACTAGAATATGGTGCGATCATCTGGGACCCATACCTAAAGCAAGACATGGACAAGATGGAGCGAATCCAATGTAATGCAGTGCGCTTCAAAGTGCACGTGAGACCACAGAACCACAACTCCTGGCTTCGTCATTGGCCTCTTAAAAAGATTTGACATCCCCTCCCTCAAAGACAGACGAGAAAAGCTCCACCTAACATTCCAATATAAAGTGGTCATTGGGCTAGTGACGTCCATCCCAACAAACATGTATCTCACCCCACAGAAGTCAGGTCGCTTAATCGGAGCCAAACGCTCACTAAATACTGACTTCACCTCTAACAACCCCATAAACAATCACATCTGGAACACTAGTAAATGCTTCACTGTACCTGGGTGTAATACAGTCCAATATAAACAATCATTTTTCCCACGCACAATCATCACTTGGAACCACCTGGAAAATACCGCAGTAAACTCGACATCAAACAAGAGCATCAAAACTGCCCTAGCTTCCGCTAGGAGCCGTCAAAATACCAGCATCGCATCCCCAACCATTGCACATATGCCAGTACATGTCTCCAGCAACGTGCCCTACCAGAAAAAGAACGCTAGAGCAGTAATTTTTTAATTTTTTTTTTACTAGACTTATAATAATCATATACTCCAAAGTTTCAGTACCAGTATTTTTTAAAGTCTTATGATACTCTTAAATGTCAGTACCAGTATTTGTACAGTTTTATGATTTTATTCAAAATAACAAATATTATCTGGAAATTTCACTCCCTATAGATATTGAACAATGTAAAATAAGCATAAATAAAAAGCATGATTTTGTCATTTTTGTAGGTCTTTTTTTCCACTTAGTGTCTAATGAAATTGACTTAAGCTTTGTGATGTAATAATATTAACTTTTGAGTAAATGATCCAGTGTTGTACATTATTAAATCACAGACAGGAGCCTCCAAACAGCAGAAAACAAGAATTCATACTCCCTGCAACCAACGATAGAGGACCTTAAACAGGACTTAGTTACAGTGATCAATTCTAGAAGTGATGATAGTGATGAGGAGTTTTCTTTGATACCCAAGTTACATCACTGTTCACAACAATCAGTCAAATCTTCCCTAGTTAAATCACATGAAGTAAGAATCTCATCTAAAGTACCAGAGGCTTGTGGTGTTACCAGAGCTAAAAATATAATTGTCGATGACCTCACTTTCACAACTTATAAGATGGCAGACTCTTATTTTGGTCAGCTGCACAAAAATATATAAAAAAAATCTGAGACATACAAAAGAGGTGCAGAGTCTGGTATTTCTTGGCTATTTGGTGACGAAGAGCTTGACAGCAAAGTGAGAGATCCTAAGAATGGAAGGACTGAAAGCAGCAGCAAAAATAATTCAATCTTTGAAAACTATGTTAACACACAAAAAAGTCATGGGACTGCTTCTTTATTGGAAAATGACACAACCCAATCAAGATTATTAAAAACAATTTGCAGAGATTAAAAAAAATCAACACGAAAATCAGGAACATCCGCTTCAAAATTTACATCATTACAATCTGTTTTGAGTGAGTATTCTTTAAGGCTGAGTATAAGTGATATTATTTTAAATGGTCAATAATTGACTAAGACATCTGAAGATTTACTGTATTTTAAATAATAGAACACAATATTTGTCAACCAGTTTGCTAGTGTCAGGGCTGTCTTTACAACAGCGGAGGCCCTGTGCACAATAATGCACTGAGGGCCCTAGCCAATTTCTTTCAGGTATTTTTCCACGTGGGAGTGGGAGTACTTGGGGGAGGGAGGCAGTGCATCTATTAGCATGAAAATTCAGAATTTTGATGCCCAGTGCCAGCTCTGACTTCGTCGCCTCTGCCATACATAACCATTAATTCATTCTGTTAGTGAAGCCCCCTGAGGGTATGCCTTTATCCCAGCTTAGTTTCATCCCTAGAATCTTTTAGTTCAACTATGTATACCAAACTAAAGGAAAAGTAAAATTCTATCCATTCAAAACAGTCATTGTATCTACTTACATCAAGCACTTTCATTTCCATTAAAATGTGTCGGCACTGTCACTTAAACGAAACTGATGGTAAGGTTTGGAGAAAGCCCCCCCCATTAGAAAATTTTTGATAAATTCAAAATGATGGGATGCCTTTTGGCACTTACATGAATTTAGTTTGCATCATTCTACCCTAGCAACCGGCTAGCTGCAGAAAGGATGCTATTTGAAATTTAGGTTCCTTTAACCATGCATGAGCTACACAAATTCTTTTATTTTTAGTTGTACCTAAATAGTTTTTCTATGAAGCTATTTATTTGTTAAACTACTTCACTACTGAATGAATATAAATAGTATTTTTTTAAAAATCCATTCAAAACAGTTGATAGTTAATTTTAAAAAAAAAAAAACGACAAACAATCTGTTAGTATATTAATATAATAATTATCATTTTGGATTTAATTTAAAACTTAAGTAGATTTTACCGAAATTTACAGTTTAAAAAATTAGAAAAAAAATAGTTTTTCTATGAAGCTATTTATTTGTTAAACTACTTCAATACTAAATGAATATAAATAGTATTTTTTTAAAAATCCAATCAAAACAGTTGATAGTTAATTTTAAAAAAAAAAAAAAACGACAAACAATCTGTTAGTATATTAATATAATAATTATCATTTTGGATTTAATTTAAAACTTAAGTAGATTTTACCGAAATTTACAGTTTAAAAAATTAGAAAAATGCTGTTTTGTACAAAAGTTCTATAGATTTTGCATGGTTATTTAAAACAGGTCATTTTAAAAATAAATTGTATCTAAATGGTTTTTTAAAAAAATGAAGGAAAGAAATATTTTCAAAATACGTCATAAATATATTAATATTTGATTTATTGGAGGGAAAATGAGACAGCATGAATTTACAAAAAAATGCAGTAACTTTAAAAATTTATTTGGAATTTCAAACTAATATACTACAACTTTCTTCATTTAAATTTCGAAATAATGAACGTTTGGTGCCTTTTGTAAGAGTCTATGATATAACCCCTCCCAACTTCCCACCAAGAAAAGGAAGTGGCTATTCTTACCCGGGTATCAGAAGTGAGATGTTGGATTAAAAAACTATTTAAAATATTATTTTTGGGTTTGTAAGACAAAATGAGGAATGAAATGAAAGATAATTGAATGGACTATATGTTTGTAAACTTACTTCTTCAGTTTAACTAAAATAAAATATCGCAAATGACATCCGAATAGCATTGAGTCAAAATGGACCCAGACACGCAACGCCGCCATTTGAAACTTTCAAAAGCTAGTATCAAAAAATTGAAATGATATTTCTTACGCACTGCTTTCTATAGTAAGAAATTAATCTCTTATTTTAAGTTATTGGCTCGCTCTAAACAATGCCTAACAAAAGGACGATACCATAGAGAAATACAATAGCAGAAATACGACACTCAAAACAGTACTATTACTAATTATAATTAATAAGATTTATTTAATTATTAATACAATTAAAAAAACAAAAGAAATATAATTACAAATCATCAACTTACAGATTATGGGAAATCTTGTTTCTGTACACAGTACAATGAGCCAATTAATAATGATGAATGCGAATAAACACATGAGTACACAAAGAATAATACACTTGTCTCGTGAAGTTAAAAAAATCTATCTGAATCTCTCTCCCGATGAATCTCTGAATCCCCTTTAATATCTATACGTGGGTAGAACCAAAGCTTCTAGAAATGTCTTCTACATTGTTTATCTTTCTATTCAATTATCGAAGTTTCCCCAAAATTCTATTAAAATATATTAGCTATTTTTAGTTGATAGTTGTGGAAAACAACGGCTAAGATGAAAGGAAATAGGCCACGCCCAATACAAATGCCGTCTAATGTGGGGTCAACCAGAGTTCACGGCACGGGGAAAGTGTGATGTAATCACGTCCTTGATAACATGTTTAAATAAACTGGAGAAATCGTCTTCCTGCTTTCATTTTGAAAGCAAAAAAAATTGCCAAAAATATTTCATTATTTACTAATAATATTGACAGCATAATGTGATATCCCCTCAAGCATGAGGCCAGCTAGAGGCGTGAGATCCTGGGCCACTAAGCAGTGTGTGCCCATGCAATAAGACGGCACTGACGTTTTCCACTAATTTGACTACTGAACAGTGACCTAGCTAGGGTTATTACCACCCAGGACTAACATCTTAGTCTAACATGGTTATAAACACAAATTCTTACTTTATTTTTTTCGATTCATATCTGGGAGAACGGAGAAGTAAAACTTTTTGAATTATTTCCCTTAAGAAGTCTCCATCTTGTGTTTCGCATTTATAATATTAATTTTGGAATGTGCCGATAATATCATGGGTTAAAATTGTGAAACATGCTGTTCATTGACTTTTAAATCCAATTAAATTGCCAAAATATTTCAATTTTCATTAAAAATATGTAAAGCATGATGCCTCTAAAAGAAAGAGTCTCCTAGAAGCGTGAGGCCCTGGGCTAGTGCCCAGTGGGCCCATATCTTAAGATAGGACTGGCTATTGTAGTCTTGAAACTCTCATTTTTATCATTAGGGAGGTCATGAAATATAAATCACAGAACTTTGTATGTAAAAGAAAAAAAGAATATTTTTTAAGTGCCATTTCAAATTTTTAACACTATTTAATTTATCCATTTTTAAATTTCTCTTTGGCACAGATATGGAAGGAGTACTTTGTACTGTGGCCAATGAAAAAGTTGTGGGATCAAGCCGTGCTGAGGATCACATGACACATTGTGCCATGGAAGATGTGTTTGAGAACCACATCAACTCACAGGCACCAGCACTGCGGTGTGAGCCATACACACAAGTAAAGCAACATTTTACTTTTGACAATGTGTCTAGTGAAGGGCTGGGTTTAGTTCACTTCATCAATAACAAGTTTCAGAAGTGACTGCTGTATTTTTATCCAAAATTGAAAAATGTTCTTTTTTTGTGTGTTTCTTTACTAAGTCATACAAAAGGGAGACATCTAAAAGAAAAATGACACTTAAAGGAAAAGGTAGAAAAAAAGTTTCCCTATTAGACCATAACACAAAACAAGCTGTACAAGTTGGATGCTACAGAGTTCTTGTTGGACAGACACCAGCTGCTATACAAAGGTAAGGTAGAATTGATATAGAATAGCTTAAATGGTTGATTATTCATGCTTACTTATCTAATCATATTATCCAAATATACCATAATATCCATGTACACCATAATATCCAAGTGCACCATAATATCCAAGAGCACCATAATATCCGAGTACACCATAAGGGTGTCTGAAAGGAAAAAATAGTCCTATATCTTATATTTCTTTCATTTGTTGTTCCATCATTTTTAGCTTGATTTCTTTAAAATTTTTCACTATGGCCTTTGATGCATTGGTAGAATACTATTTCATTTTTAGTTATTTCTTATTATTCTTAAAAGTTATAAATAAATTATAAGAAAAAAATCTATGCAAAAATATTTCTCTCACTGTAAGAAGACAAATATTCTTTTTGTATTAGTTTGATGTGTTATATCTGGTTTCTTATCTAGGTTGTTTAACCCTCGAACTGTGATCGGCCGATTAAAAACACGGTCCGATAGCAACTTCCAATCCAATATTTAAACGGAATTAGTTCCCCTTCCATTTATTAATAATTAAATCTTCTTCCGGTTAAAGCTTTTTCTTGATAACTTAAAAATAAGTACTTTTTAATCGTAGCTTTATATCCCTGTTTTTTTTTTAAAGCTAAAATGGTGGAAGCTGTGGTCGGGCCTTCAGTACGATAACTAATTATCGATATACATATTTTTGAAAGCTTTTTAGGAGAGGATTTAAGTGATACTGATAATGATTTTAACGTTCCCCATGACATCTCACTTCAGATTATTCTTTTTGTGAATCTGATACTAGTCTTAGTGATACTGAAGTAGGCCTACTGAGGCTACTGTTTGACTTCAAGCCAGGCCCAGAGGTTGGGCAAGGACTGACTGAATTTTAGCCACAGAAGCTACAGATAATAGATCAGAACTAATAAATTTTATAGTTAAACAACCCAAATCAGTTCCAAAGTTCCTTTTTAAATGTTTACTAGTCAATAATAACTATTTTGCCTAAGATTTTGTATTTTGTACTTGGTTTTAGCAGTGGTCCCAGTTTCTTATATAAATGACCTAAAATTACTAAAATTAATTTCAGAAGTTTAATTGCAATCAAAACCTTAGCAAACTATACATTTTCTGAAAGATAAATGAATCGCCTACAACATTTAGATTTGTGTTTTAAGTGTATCTATAAAAATTAATTATGTTATGAGCACTTGATAGCAAGACATTTTGTCGATTTTTTTTTCTTGAGAACTTCAAGGTCAAGGACACTGAGCAAAAATTTTTTTAAGGGGTGGGCAACATGGTCAACACTATCCCCATCCATTTACCTTTCTAAAAATATACTTATAGGGGTCTTGTATCAATATTTCTATGTCATTTAATGCAATTTTAAATGGCACTCAAAACACTCTGAAAAGCTCCACATCACAGAATGATGCATGCCACAGTTCGAGGGTTAAGCATGTTATATGAGTGGACTTAAGCAAATTAATAGAGCATAAGGTTTTAGGGCTACTTGTAAAAGTAATTTATCCACTTTGACTTTGGAAAATCAAATGATCTGTTACAAAAACTCATAATAATCAATGAGCCAACTGTTACTAAATGTCAAAATAATCAATAAGCCAAACTCTTACATAAAAAACAATGCGCAAAATAAATGTCATAAATGTAACATGAACATTAATTACATGGATGTTATTTACTTCAATATTTTAAAATCTGACTGTTGTAGTTGTGTGGCTTTGCTTCATATTTATCATTAGCAGTTTTGGTCAAATTGTTGCATTTTTTTATAGCATCAGAAAACATTTTTAAGGTAATAAATGTTGCTCCTTTATGTGTGAACATATTCTAAGGAATTGTGCTCTTCACTTCAATGTGTAAACATCAAAATGCATAATTCTCTATATAGCAATTTAACAATCAACTAACATTTGCACAACGTAAAATTCCCCATTACTGCGCTAAATGAGATTATTGAAAATTTTGCAAGAGCTTTTGATGTGTAATATTTTCTTATATTTAATCCAGGTAAACACACATTAAAAATACTCAACAATATCCAAAACTTCAACCTTGAAATCATTGCTACGTTACTGCATTTTGTTAATAGCTGAAGAGGTGATTTGAAGAGTCAAAATACTTAGTTCTCTATGTAACAATCAACAATCTCACTAACAGCTACCAGATTTTTAATAGTGCGTAAAAAAGATCCAAATTGTGCTAATTAAATGAGGTTCTTAAAAATACCACAAATGTATTTGGTGCATAGTATTTTCTTTTGTTTTATGAAATAGTTGATGTAATAAATCTGTTGTGTAAAAATGTTTGGAAAATTATAATATTAATATAGTTCAGGGGTGGTGGCCATGGGCGCCTGCAGAAAACTTTCTAGGGGGGGGGCAAAAAAATTGATTAACTTTCCAGGGGGGGGGGGGGGGGAAAAATTTTTTTAGTAATGTGTTAATATATTTTTAATTTACTGTATCGTATTTGTATGGTGAACGAACGGACAGGACATCAGCTTAGTTACTTTCTCTTTATTTTCTCTTTACTTTAATACATTTTTTGTCTATTTTTGTCTAAAAAATTTTTATCCAATCAATCCAGGGGGGGGCAAGTGCCCCCCTTGCCCCTACCTGCGGGCGCCCATGGTGGTGGCATACTAGTGTGGTGGGGAGCACTAATTGGAATCTTATATTATAAAGAGTGTTACCTGAATGCATATTTTCTCAACTAACTTTAGTAGATAGGAAGTTCACTGAGGCAGGCAAAAAATTCAGCCATTGTTTGGCAGTTGGTATTCCAATAAATGTTGCTTTTCATTTCAGTGAGTAAAAATATTCTAATAAATGCTGCTTTTCATTGTGTAAACATATTCTAATACATGCTGCTCTTCAATGCGCAGGCAACAGTGGGCTGAACTGTGCAAGTTTAAAAGTTCAGATGATCTTAACTTAGCAAGAACTTTACTGCCATTAAAAGTTGAAGGTAGGCTAGAATTACTGAAAGAATTTTACTCACAACAGCACCCACAGTTGAGTGAAACAGTTACAAAGATCTGCACTATGAAAACAGGTGGGTTTCCAAATGCATTATAGATGAAAGAAACAGAATTAGTAAGATTCCCTACCTTATTCTCTAACTCTGGGGTTTTTAACCACGGTGCACTGCAATACATACTTTGATTTGACATGCTGATAATGAATATTAATACATTTGCATTTATTAGGATCAATAAAAGAATAATATCTTAACTGTTCAAGCTATTTTAACTTAAACTTTATCTAAAGCTTTCAGTTGCTCAAGGGAAATGTATTGTCTATTTCACTGCTTAAATTAAGTTAAACTTAGTTAAGCTAGAATTTTATATTTAAAAAAATATAATTTTTTGGTCTCTTTTTTTTCTTTGTAGTTCAATGTCAAAATCTCAATACAAACAGAAAAATATTATTAGCCGCAAAGAAAGAGCAGCCAGCTAATGAGGAAGACATCTCTAGTTCTTCAAAATATGATAAATTCTTTAAGGTCAAAAGAACTTCCAAGAACTACAAGACATCAAACTTATCTATGGCTTCAGACTGTCTAAATTCAGTCATTGGGATACCACTAGAAAAAGAGTTTCATGAAGTGGATTCCCAGGTCTTCATCCCCACTACAGCATCTCAGTCTCAGCAGTATAGAGATGTTTCCAGCTCAGGCAAGTCTCACTGTAAAACAAGACAGGGAAGTAAAGTGCTAGACTCTGAAAAAGTATATGAACATTTTGACTTCATTGATTCCATTAATATTAATAAGGAGGAAAAATGTGGAGCCTCATCAGATAATATCCAAACACTGAGGTATATGGATCCTACATCCTGTCCATTAAAAGAAACAGATAAAGATATGTTTTCACTAATGCATGGAATGGGAAATAAAACTTCAAATGCTTATTCAATGGAGACAAAAATAAATAATATAAAAATGTCTTTATGTTCTGAATTTAAAAACCCTAAGAAAGTTACAGACCTGCACACTAACCAGAAAAGTTGTGAAACAAACCAAAATACAAGTTCTAAAGAGCTAAAACTAAAACATTCTTTGAGAAATTATGCTTGCATATTGGATGATATATTTGAATCTTCTGATAGGGAACCACAATCAAATCCAATGGAAGGGGGAAAATTTGAAATTAATGAAAATAAATATGACCTTCAATAAATGTATTCTTTGCAAGAAGTCAGAATACAGATAGTTTTGATGGGTTTTATCAATCAAGCACTCTCAAAGATGAAAATGTAGATTTTTTTTCCAAAGCCACAAATTAAAAAAGGCAGAGAGCAAGACTAGATGATTGCACGGATCCAACAGAAACTTCCCGAATGCTAGCAAAACTTATAAAAGAAAAGATCTAGTACTGATGATTTTAATCACAAGGCTGTCCCCTTATCTCAAGATGGCCCTGAAAGTCTGTTTTTTTAGCTTATTAAATGGAATCTAATTTATCTGTTACATTATATTATAAAATAATTTTAAGATACCAGTACAGGGTGTTTAAATTATAAATACTGGTATACAATATTTAATTTGAAGTACTGCACTTGCTTCAATTTTATATGCATCTGGCTATTAATCAAAAAGTCTATTTTACACAATTTTTAAAGCACCTTAAATTTACTTCAAAATATTACACCTGAAATTAATTACTCTTTGCCAAGAGGTGGCTTAGATTTTTAAAATTAAATTTGAGGATCAGGATTTTTCAAAATGTCTACCTGGCTTGCCAGTTAAGAGTACCGACGTATTTAATAGGATATCAAATGTAACATATTGTTTATAATCAAGGATAAATGACATTTGTATTTCCAAGTATACAATTATTGAAGTTACTTCTCTTGCTTTTATTAATAACTATATACATTTTATAAAATTCTGATAATTGTCAGTTAATTTTTTGGGTGATGAAGATGCCTACTTAAAATTTAATTTTAAACCACTTAGGAACCGAGCCGTGTGAACACAGCGGTTGCAAAACTTGCCCTACTTTTAGATAAAGGATGGTTTCCTTTGCACTAGCCACAATTTTGTCTATCCCAATGTTTGTACCCGCTGTCAGATGGGGCATGTAGGTGAGACTGGGCGGCGCCTCTCGGGACAGATATACAAGACAGATGTACAACAACAAAATTCTTAGCAGCTAAATTCTCCATTAAATCGTGCAAAGAGATGCTGGCTAAATTTTGCTTTGGGTGAGTCCTGGTTCCTCTTTACCCACCCACCCTGCCCCCAACTCCATATGTTTCAAGTTAGTAGTTAGTTGGAGACCCCTGCTATAAATAAAGAAATGTTATAGAACTACTTTCATTGAATTTTGTTGTTGCTCTTAAGTGTGGACCAAGTGTGGTTGTAGTAGTTGTAGTGAAGTTAGACAACGGTGCCATGTAATTTGTGACAATGTATAAGTTAAAAGTGGGAGATTTGTATTTTGTACAGCAAGGAGTGACTGATGATTTTGTAAAAGAGGGACATTATGATTTTGTGCAACGAGATCTTGAAAATGTTAGAAAACCTGGAGAAGCTACGTTATCACGAAGAGGGGTCGTGAGCTAAGGGAACGTAGATTAAACAAGGTCTGAGTCATTGGGGATTACCTTAGGTCAGGCCTGCACAACTCAAAACGTAAGGCGGGCTGTAATACTTTATGAAAAACCTGTGCGAGCCAAAAGAAAATGGGACAGGACTTGTGCGGGTCAAAAGAAAATAGGACAGTGGGGAAAGCTATTAAGAAAATAATAAGAATATTTCGTTACTTCGCGGGCAGCAAAGTGGGTACTGGCGGGCCGTATGTTGTTCAGGCCTACCTTAGGTGGAGCTATGAGGGCCGTAGTCCAGTCAGATTTTTTAGAAGTGAATAAAACGGTGCTCAAGGGTTGAGAAACATGGTGGTGGTGTGTCCGTCTCAGATAATGTAGCTAACGTTTTTTATCTTGATTATACTATGCAGATTGCGTGGAGAATGTGTCCCTCCCCCTCCCGATGTGTATGATGTCTTTTTTTTTTAGGTATGTGATGGGGCCAGGAATGCTAAAGTTTGAGAGCCGTGATGTCTGACACTAAGTTTATTAAAGATTTTGAGTTTGAGGTGTTTGGTATCTATAGGTCAACTATAGCCAACTAGTTCAAACAACGCGCAGAGACTGTAGGGTGAGTGTGAATCAACAGTGTGTTCCGGAAGCAAGCAGAGTCAACGTAATTGAGAACTTGTATTTATGAATTTATGTATATTTATGTTAATGTTTATTGTTGGAAATAAAAACAGTAAACATAACAAATGGTGGCCAGTATCAATAACACAGTATAACTCAATACAACCCAGTATTGACTAGTGTTAGACTGATTACACAATAGGGACTTCACGTAACTGAAGAGATATACCGGTACACTCATTGGCGGAGTTAAGTCTGAACCAAACGGACTTCATTCAAAAGCTGATTCAGCAGAATGATTTACTGTTAAAACTAGCAATTGGGTATACGACTAGTAATAAGAAATTCGGACTAATGTGAAGAGATGGCACCCTGGTTCCGACATGGTCAAAACCCAGGGTAGGGATAAGTTTATGATTCAGGTTAGGTTTAGGGATACCGGTACATATAGGACATAAGTTCGCGGCAACCAAGGTAAAAAAAAAAAAACGCGGTGCTATCTCTTCACATTTACCGAAATTTGCAAGTTTCAATAGTAATGAGGAAACATTAACGGACTACTACGCTAGATATGTGACCTTTGTGTTAGCTAACAATGTACCAAAGGAAAAGCAAGACACATGGACATGGTCACGTTGAGCCAAGCAAGAAACCGGGTCATGTTGAGCCAAGCAAGACACATGGTCATGTTGAGCCAAGCAAGACGCCTGGTCAACTGAACATTGCGATGCGGATGCTCTTAGTCGTCTACCCTCAGGGCCTGAAGACATTTTTGATTGTGAAGAAAGTGAAGCAGACATTATGGATTCTGTATGTATGAATCATACTATGAATATATAATTCACTGTTGCAAAAAAGGAGTTAAACGCAAGTCAAAGTCTTCAACAACAACAGGCCAAAGAAAATCACAAGCGTAAGTAATAAAGTAATAATAATAAGTTAACTTTAAATTTAGTTGTTCTTGTCATGTAATAATTATTTCTCCAAGCCAATGATTATTACCACGGGAAAAGAAGAGGGCGAATGCCACTATTTTATCGATGGCAGCGACTAATGTATCCCTAAATCGATCCCTATGCCTAACCTGAACCCTAAATCGACCCCTCAACCTAACCTAAACCCTAATTCACTGCAACTATAATAAAGAAGCAAATGACGCCGGGGCATTCGTGCTCTACATTAGCCCTTACCACTTTTGGCAATTCGTTGAGAATTTTCAAATTTTTCAGTTCTTTCAAATTGGGATGACCAGGGATGCCAGGGAAAAATAAAGCTTGTTGCCAAGAGGAATCCATCTCGGCTAGAAATTACCAAATCAATGCATGAACATACTGGTCAGGAAGTATCAAAAGAAGTAAGTGCATGTGCTGCGAAAAATATTTACATAATAATAATAAATAGCATATTCTTGTGGCAGGTTGTTGTCACCTACAGGTACTCCAGTACTATAGAGTTAGAGATGGATGCATTTTAAAAGAATGTTTTGTACCATTCATTAACCCATTCAATCTAGGGCGCTCAGAAATTTTATCACTGAAAACTTTAGGTTAAGGTTAGGGTTACCATAGAAAGGTTTTGAAAGAAATTAAGACAAATCTATTTAACACTATAATTAAATTAAATAAATTCTAAATAGTGCAAATATAGTTTTCTATCTTAATTTTGATTATTGTGACATATAATAAGCTTAAAACATTTATCCCCAAGGTGAAGGTTAGTTATTTTTATGTACACCGGTGAGCGGTGAGCCCAGCCCTAGGCTTGGGTACTGCTTTATATAAGACCAATGTTCCCTCTAAGGTTTGTTGTTTTGTGTGCAAAATCATACAGTTATGTGCAAAGTTTTACAGCATCAATTTTTTTTGTGTGCAAAATTTTACAGTCCAGAAACACAAACACACACTTAGAATGAAATTTGCTGTGCGGATACTCAAAACTGCTGCGCAGCGCCTGTGAGCAGCTTAAAGGGAACATTTTATAAGACCACTAATAATAATAATAATAATAATGTTTGCAGGGCCTATTTTTTTACATCATACTTACTATTGCAAATTAACCTTTGTGTGTTTTTTTTTCCAGATGTGCCGCTTGTATCCGGAAAACCGCAAGGTGGAACTAAATGCAGCAACGCTTCTGTTGATGTCCTGCACAACGTTTCAGGCATCTGAGGCCCGGCAAGTTCTTGAACAACAGTATGATGTGGATTTGCTTCCCAGGGATATTTACAATATTAAGTCAAGAATAAATAAATCATCTTCTGATGCAACTGAAACTCAATCTATACTTCATTCTATATCACAAGCTGGTGGAAGTGTGTCGTATGGACTAACAGAAAGTGGGGAATTTAAGTATTTATCATACATGACTCATGATATGATTAGAATTATTGCCCAATATCCAGAGGTTTTATTAATGGATTTCACATATAAAACCAATAAATATTTATATCCACTTTTGACTGTAATGGTTATTGATGGAGAGGGCAGGGGCATTCCTGTTCTTCATGGTTTTGTAAAAAATGAAGATAAGGAATCTATTTCTCCTTGTTTGCAGCTTCTTCTGAAGAATTCTGATGCCAGTCTTTTCAAGTGATTTGTGGTTGACAAAGACATGGCTGAAATCTCTGCTATAAGTGATCTGTTTCCAAATGTACCTGTTAATCTATGTCATTTTCACATTAACCAGGCTGTGCACAGGTTTCTTTCGAAACATGTAGGTCCTGAGCATGTTAAGCCAATTTTTGAAGGATTTATGTCTCAAGTTATACTGAGTCGTGTGATGAATTTTTAAAGTTGATGCAAGACATGAAAGATACTCTTCCTGATGCAGCTTTGGAGTATTTTGAGTCAAACTGGTGGAGTGAGGCCCATTTATGGGCAGCATTATCCAATGCAGATGTTTTAAGACTCCATGCGACAACAACAAATCACTTGGAGTCTTATCATGCCAAAATAAAAAAGAGTTTGACTCATTATCTTTCTTTTTCATCTGCTCTTTGTAACCTTATGTCTTTTGACAACTGCAAAATTACAGTATGTGATCGTTTAAGATTGCTTGCTGCAAACACAGCTCAGTATACGTCATCTGATAATGATGAAAGTGTAAATAAGATTGAAAGTGTTGCTACTTCCTTTGCTGCTGCTCTATTGCTCAATCAGCTCAAATTGTCACGATCTGTTCCGTACTCTGTTGTCCCTGGAGAGGTAGAACTTTTTTCAGTAGCTTACAAGGAACATATTTTTAGATCAACATCAGTTCAATGTAATTGTTCATTTGCTAAAAAGATGGCATTACCTTGCAGACATATTTTTTCAGTTCGAAGACATTTACAGCTTCGAGAATTTTGTTCAGAGTTAATTCCATGCCGTTTTTCCATTTTTTTAAAATATTTATTTTTTCTGTTTTGCCTGATAATTTTACATTGATATGATTTAAATTTCATTTTATTTGACTCCTATATTTCTAATATTGCTTAATTGAATTTTTTTCTCTTTTTAATGTGGTCCACTTAGGATTTTCCATTTATCTCTGACATCAAATGTATTATGGGGAAAAGTATTATTACCACATGCTTCAAATTTGCAAGGTTTTTTCTATTATAGTCTCGTTATAATGATTATGATTGATCTTTTTATTACATGTCTGATAAAAAAAATTCAGAAGTTTTTATGATCTTATTTTTATTTGGCTCGAGGTTAGTGGGTTGTTGGGATAATGCATTCATTTATATTCTATCAACTATATCTATGTTCTTAAATTGTTTTTTTTAATTAACCAGTGGAATGTGTTCATGATGTATGCATCCAATGTTGTTTCAGTGTCTTTTTCAGCTTTTATAGATATAGCATTTTCATTTTTTTTCCTGACATCGATTGATGAATCAGGAGGAATAGTTTTAGAACTACATAATTGAAACTTTGCATGCTTATTTATATTGAGATTCTTTACTTTATGATGGATTGTTTTTAAACAAATGTCTCATAGGAAAAGTTTTCGGAATGTTTGTATTTATGTATTTTATTTATTAGGTTCGTGTGTTAATTTTTTTTTTCTATCTTTTCTATCTTAGTTTTCTAATTTTGTTTTAAATCATGAAGGATGTATGTACATGGTGTATGCATCCTATATCGTTCATGCAACCTCAAATTTA